ACCAAAACCAAAACCAAAACCAAACCAAAAACAGTAGTGTTGTTTTGGTTAGATCTGAGTGAGTCAGAGAACTACATCCTTATTTAGATTTTTCCAGACTCCACTCTGATTAACCATGCACAAGCAGGAAGAGTTCTCTAGCCTGGGTTGTAGAGCCACGTGTAGATGACCTTCATACTCCCTCTCCATTTGGTGTGTGTCACTTTCATTAATTTTTTCCCTTCCTTTCTCAAAGTCCTGTGACTACCAATATTTTCATTTTATGTAATCTCTAGTGCTGCTTTCCAGCCACTATGCAAAATGTTTCACCAAACACTAGCAAAACTAGGTTATTTCTGACTTATGTTCTTCAAGGTAGTTGTTTTACCCATTATCCTTAAATCTAGGTCCTATTAAGTTCAAATCTCTAGATGTATGATCTTCTAGCACTCTATTTTTAAATTAAGGACTTTTAGCTATTATGAAATTGATTTGTGGTCTATTTTGCCATACTCTTCTCCCCCCCCACCCCCCACCCCCCGATTGTTCGTATAATGATATCTTTCTGTTTTTAACTGACTTGGGTGTCTGATACAGGGATTTCAGCCCCTGGTTAATCAGTCTTGCCTCTAAAAGTCCCTGCTGCAATGTGATGTTTATTTGTGGTATTTAAAGAGCACTTTAACTTTGACAGAGGGACCTTCCCAACACCAGGTGCTTGGGTATTTCTTAGAAGTCATCATCTAACTCCCTCAATCTGAAATTCAATCTAGTACCAGAAGTATAACTAAACAGCAAACTACACAGAGCCTCTGCCTCATACTGTTCTTGGGACATGGCACTGTTTTTCTCAGAAGCCATTATGGAGTCCTGAGGGACTGGAATGGGCCCATGCCCTCTCCACTTTTACCAGCAACTGGTCATTTTTTTCAGAATCAATGTATAGGTTCTGGCCACAGCAGTGGATTCATGATTCACATCTTAGATGTGTGTGTGCATCAGTGTGTTGACTTAACATTTCTGTAGTTCACCTTAATGCTTCATTTCTGCATCAAGCCTTATAAATTGTGTAACTTACACAACTCATGTAAATCAGTAAAATTACAAAGGTCTATTTCATGAGAACAGTTATCAACATTGTATATTTAACTAGAAAAAAATAAAAGCACAATGTCATTCTTTTTCTCAGATTTCTTGGTTTCTTGAACTATATTTCAAAAGTTTAAGCACAAAATGAAATGGAAGATTAGTTTTTTTTTTTTAAGTTTAGTTTAGAGCTCACCAAATTTCTCCCTAAGTTTACACCTCACAAGTCTGTTTATGATTTCTTATTATATCTTCTCCAACTTGAGCCAGGAAATATGTCTTCTGTCATCTCCATCACTTTCTTATTCTCAAACACTACTGCAACATGGGTCAGCATTTTGAATTACCTTCAGGAAGGAACCATTTGAAGAATTCCATATCAAATGCTTATTACTTTATTCCTCTTAAAAATTTAGTCACACCAAGGTCGAGTGTTCAGATCCCCTGAACCAGCCAACCACCAAAAATAAATAAAATAAAATAATACAATAAATAAATAAAAATTTAGTAATGTGATATTTGTATCCTCTTTATATCTATTATCTGTCTCTATGCTAATTACATGTTCAATGAAGAATTGAGCTTAAATTGGGTATTCAATGAGCAGAAATATTAGCAACCATGGGAAAATTTTAATTTTGTCTAAAATGACACATTATTTTTAGTAAAATAAAATTTTCTACCTTGTAAGAACCATTTTGCTCAGTTCATACACGCAGTATTTGGGGAAAATATTCTGAAGCATAGACTTTTTAATTTGACTGTATTACCTTTGAAGTTTTATTATTTTTAAAATCCCTTGACTGACAATAGAAATAATTTCCCTTTTACAAAATTGAGGAAATAAGAGATTGAACAGGAATGAAGTCACAGATTAAGAATCAAGACTTTTGGGTTTTGAGGTTCCAAAAGCTTCACCTACATTTGTGTTGGATGTACTTGGATACTTGGCTTTCATTTTCAGCTTCTTATAGGGTCCAGGCTTAAACTATCATGTTTTGGGGAAACTTGGTCAAAATGTTTAAATCCTCAATATTTGTAACACACTATTACACAAATAAACAACTCCTAAATTATTCTCTAGAAATAGTAATTCATTTTTTTATTTTTAAAACTTTTTTTTTTCTGGCTACTGGCCAGTATGGGGATCTGAACCTTTGACCCTGGTGTTACAAAATGGTGCTCTAACCAACTGAGCTAACTGGCCATTTATTTAAAAAATTTAAATCTAGTCTACAACAGGCTCATTTCTCCACTTCCCCTTGCAAAATTAGTTAATATTAGGAAATCTTTATTAAACTTATATTACTTTAATATTGTTTCCTTGTGTTTTCTCTACTCATATGGAGAACCAGCCATAACTGAACAAAAACAAAAAAGGATCCTTTAAGAGTAGAATGGTTTTTTAATCAACAAATACTTTATTGGACACCTATTCCATATAAGGCATTGTTCTGGCCCAAAATGGATTTCCCTCTGTCCTCAACAGACTTACAATCTATTTGAAAAGACAAAGCATTTTACATTTAGAAAAAGAGATTTTCTTGTGGGATGTGCTAAAATGTTGTGAGAAGTCAAGGTAGAGTGATATTCCTGATAGATGTAGATCAGGTGGCATATTGTGGTTGGACAATCCTGGGTAGCACGTACCAGCACAAAGACTGAAGAATGGTGGAAGGGTCATTCACAAAAGCTATTCAGAGCATCCAGT